ACATCGATCAGCTGATTCGACCAATAATTTGGTGATTCGATGGCTTAGCATGATCAATATTTGAGTCGGGTTAATAACCGTGCTAGTATTGATACGTCAAAATTATTGCTGAAGAAAGATCAAATTGACGAGAGATAATAAAACTAGCCCCCGATTTCTAGTAATCCTTCCCCATCTTCCTCTCCTACAAAATTAACTTAGTTTGTAGATTTTTTTTTCCGATTCAACCTTGGTTGAGATTATGAAATATTGAAATTTACTGTTTCCATATCCTGATAGGAATCTAGGTTCATCTAAAGTCTTTAAAAGCATTGAGAGTTTTGAGAACACAAAAATCATAAAAGAAGTAAAAATGTCATAATGAAGAACAGTGCTATGCATCTGCCCAATGACACTTTCAATCATCCTATGTCATGCTTGCTTATGCAAACATTTTCCATTCATAAATAATACTAAAGCACATTGGATGATGGACAAACCAATTTGTATTTGCATTTGACTATTAAGAATAATGCTTGGGATAGTCATCATATGATGAAATTAATTGAATGTGTCGATATAAGATCAATCTTATTAATATTTAATATCATATTACTCAGTGATCATCGCTAATGAGGATAAATAACGCTATCTGTCCTTTAAAGGTTAGAACGGGTATTAAACACTATTTGTATATTGATGCTCGCAAACGAACTTGTCATGGACTTGACTAAATTACTGTACTATTACACCATTTGCAGTATCAAGCGAACTTGATCGTGTGATTTATCTTATAATATTTTAATTAATTCTTATTTCTTATTAAAAAACTATCGAAACTTGTCAATCCACTCATGTACGTCGAATGTGACATGTCAAATAAGCGCTTAGCCTCGAAAAGGTTATATGATGTTACAAAGAACGATGTATATAATTCGAATTATCATCGTGCGTGAAAGTACGACCTTGTAATTAAAAAAAAAAGAGTTGAAAGTCAACATATTGCAAGTCAAATGTAGCAACAACTAACTTGACTCGAGTTTAGGCGCGACGCATTTTTTACTATACACACATTTTCAAAAATAAACTCTCAATAATGATAGTAGAATGTTTTGCATTCTAAGGACCACTTCATCTACTCGATTTTCATATTGGGTGGGACGACTTTGAAAAAATATGATTAATGGGATTTTCATCATTTAGTATCATGCACAACTCAAGTGGATGGAAGTAGAAAAAATGGCGCAATAATTACTTCATTTTTAATTTTTTTTTAAGAATGAAATAGTAGAAAAAATGAAAAGGAGTTTTCTTTTCAACATTTTTTTCATCATATTCTTATTCTCAAACTTTTATTAATTAGCACATCGGGTGTTTAATGATTTTTTCATCTAAAAATTTGTTGTGAGAGCATAAAAGTACTCATTTTCTTTTCATGTTTTTACATAAGCAAAGAAAACAAGAAGTAAAAAAGTTCGACAAAATATTTCACTCATTCCACACCACGCTAAAGTGATAGTTAGATAAAAACTGTTATCAAA